ACCTTCTGGCCATTCTGAGCACTTGCCAGCGCGCCCTCAAGACGGAGAAGTGGGGCGTTGAGTGCACGCTGCCCGGGGAACCCCAAAGAGATCCGGCCAGGCTGCCGCCAGGGGGGCCGCAGGGAGCACCTGGGTTCGGAGCAGACAGAGCGGGTTTTGTGGACAAAAAGAGCCACATGCCAGCCTGACAAGCTCAGAGGAGGCCTGCGTGGCAGTCTTGCAAACTCAGAGACCTAAAGTCACCACAAGAGATGGTTTGAAAATTAAATATTGTAACTACAAACAGGTTATAGTGGGTAATCATGTCCTGATATTTTCCCTGACAAAGAACAACTTAGATCTTCTTTCCTGAGCCCATTTGCCTTTTTGCCTCTAAGATAACATATCTATGAGATGGCTGGGTAACTTGTAACTTCCCTTTTTCTGGAGCCCCTGGGGCACAACCAAAAGTGCTGGGAGCCAGGATGGACGCTTCAAATTCCTTCATTATCATGTTAATTATTCCTGCACTCAGTGTTCCCCTCCATCATTTCACTTTACATCCAATCCCAAGGGTTTCCCACTGCTTTACTTTCTCCCGCCTCCTTACTCCATCACCAATGAATTTCCTGTAACCCACCTATGTCCCTCCTTTGATTGCGACATATAAATAGAAATGTAACCCGCCATTCTCCAGAGCATTATCTCAATTCATTGAGGTTCTGCTTCCTGACAATTTGGCTCAAATAAACTCACTAAAATTCTTTACAGGTTTCAATGTTTTGTGTGGGTTTTTTTTTTTTTTCCATGAACAATTTGGATCTCGCCTTTGCTTAGGCAAGAAGCACGTCTCTTTGCCCCTGGACTCCAGAGCAGCGAGTCCGACAGCACGTCCCCTGATGTGCGATGTCGGCCATCCTGCTGTCCATCGGCTGTTCCCCGCGGCAGCCACTGTCACCAGTTCAATGACCAGCCAGGGCACGTGCCTGGGTGGTGGGATTGCTCCCCAGTGTGGGCGTGCAGGAGGCAGCTGTGAATGAAAAGAGCCCATGCTAACCTGACAAACTCAGGGGAGGCCCGCATGGCAGTCTTGCAAACTCAGAGACCTAAAATAACCACAAAGATGGTTTGAAAATTAAATATCTAACTACAAACAGGTTATAGTGGGTAGTCAGGTCCTAGACCGATATTTCACCTGCAAAGATCAATTACAAAGATCTTCTTTACTGAGCCCATTTGCCTTTTGGCCTCTAAGATAACATATCTGAGAGATGTCTGGGTAACTTGTAACTTCCTTTTTACCCCGACCCCTCAGGGCACAACAAATGGCCTCAAGACATTTCCCTCATTGTTATTGTTATCAAGTTAATTGTCAACTGTTAATTATCGTTAGAGTATCCTGTACCCATCTCTGTAAGAGAAACACAGGTCCATCATTTCACTTTTTACCCTATCCCAGAGGTTTCCCCGCTTCGCTCTGTCCCACCTCCCTAATCTATCACCAATGAAGTTCATGTAACTAACCTACGTCCCTTTCCTTTTATTGCAATGTATAAATGCAGAGATGTAACTCTGATTTCTCCGGAGCATTATCTCAGTCTGTTGAGGTTTTGCTTCCTGGCACATGTCGACAGTTTGGCTCAAATAAACTCACTAAAATTCTTTACAGGTTTCAATGTTTTTGGGGTTTTTTTCGTTAACAAAGCTGATAGATGATTCTCATCATTGATGTTTCTATCTCCCTCTCTCTCTTCCTTCTTCTCTCTCTAAAAAATCAATTTTTATTTATTTTTTAAATATATTTTTTATTAAATTATTATTTTTGTACATATACCAATGCCCCCCGTCCCGTACATACCCTCCCTCCCTAGAGTTTTGTGTCCATTGGTTGTACTTATATGCATGTATACAAATCCTTCGGTTGATCTCTTATCTCCCCCAAATCTCCCCAACCTCCCCGCTGTAATTTGATAGTCTGCTTGTTGCTTTATTGTCTCTATATCTATCTTTTGGTTCTTCAGTTTATAATGTTCTTTATCATCCATAAATAAGTGAGGTCATGTGGTGTCTCTCATTGACTGGCTTGTTTCACTCAGCATGATGTTCTCCAATTCCATCCAGGTTGCTGCAAACAATGAGAATTTTTTTCTTTTTTACGGCAGCATAATATTCCATTGTGTAAATGTACCATAGTTTTTGGATCCAATAGTCTGATGGGCACCTAGGCTGTTTCCAAATCCTAGCTATTGTAAATTGTGCTGCTATGAACATAGGGGTGCATATATCCTTTCTGATTGATGTTTCTAGCTTCTTGGGATATATTCCTAGGAGTGGGATTACTGGTCAAATGGGAGTTGCATTTTCAGTTTTTTGAGGAAGCTCCATACTGTTCTCCACAGTGGTTGCACCAGTCTACATTCCCATAAAAAAAAATCAATTTTTAAAAAAACTATATTTTTTAGCCGAACCCGGTTTGGCTCAGTGGATAGAGCATCGGCCTGCAGACTGGGGGGACCCAGGTTTGATTCCGGTCATGGGCACATAAATTGGTTGTGGGCATATCCCCATTGGGAGGTGTGTGGGAGGCAGCTGATCAATGTTTCTCTCTCATCGATGTTTCTAGCTTTCTATCCTTCTCCCTTCCTCTCTGTAAAAAAAAACAAACAATAAAATATATTTTTTAAAAATAAAAAAACTATATATATTTTAAAGTCTGTTATTTCTGTCCCGCCTCAGTGACCCTAAGTTTCTTCCCTCCCCTAAGCCTCCTGGTCCATGGCTCAGCTGGTCTGGAGCCCACGGGAGTTGGGTGAAGGCCTAGGATCTCTCAGGGTGGGGTGTGCTGTGAGGAACAGAGTAGGCCCCTAACTAACACCTGGCCCCTCCCGCTGCCCCATGCTCCCTGTTCTTTACAGAGCTCAGCACTGCGCGGCTGTAGAGCATCTGTCTGCTTACTGTTACATGTCTCCTCACTAGCATGTAAGCTCAGGAGGGCAGGGACTTTTTTTTTTTAATTTGAAAGCCTTGCACATATTTTTATTAACTTTTAATTAAGGTGAACTTTGCCGAAACCTGTTTGGCTCAGTGGATAGAGCGTTGTCGGCCTGCAGGCTGAAAGATCCCAGGTTCAATTCCAGCTGGTCAAGGGCATGTACCTTGGTTGCAGGCACATCTCCAGTAGGGGGTGTACAAGAGGCAGCTGGTTGATGATTTTCTCTCATCGATGTTTCTAACTATCCCTCTCTCTTCCTCTCTGTAAAAAAAAAATCAATAAAATATATTTTTTTAAAAATTAAGGTGAACTTTGGAACAGGCAGTCATTGACACGGTGGAAAGTCAAAAGGGAAGTCTCATTCATTCCCATTCCTGCCTCTGGCTATGAGCTCCCCTACCCCCACAACAAACCGCTGTGATTCATCTCCCAGGATTTCCTTACACATGGCTCCTTGGCCTCCGGCTAAGGTCAAGTGCAGTATATATATATATATATATATATATATATATATATATATATATATATATATATATTTTTTTTTTTTTTTTTTTTTTTTTTTTTTACAGAGAGAAAGAGAGAGGGATAGAGAGTTAGAAACATCGATGAGAGAGAAACATCAATCAGCTGCCTCTTGGACACTCCCTACTGGGGATGTGCCCGAAACCAAGGTGCATGACCTTGACTGGAATCGAACCTGGGACCCTTCAGTCTGCAGGCCAACGCTCTATCCACTGAGCCAGACCGGTTTCAGCATCCTCGTCTTTTTTTCACAGCTGCATAGTATTCCCTTTGGGGACATCCTGTAGCTGACTCGGTGAGCTCCCTGCTGATAAGCACGTGTGGCTTCCATCCGCTGCTATTACCACAAACGCAGGGCAGGGACTGCTATGCTGAGCCTCATGCACCAATCTTCTTTTTTTCATTTTTATTACATTAGGATGACATTGGTTAATAAAATTATATAGGATGCAGCTGTCCCATCCTGTAATATGCCATCTGTACATTGAATTGTGTGTTCACCACCCCAAGTCAAGTCTCCTTTCATCACCATGCACCCCTCCTCTTCTACATGCATCCCCCCTCTTCTCAGACAACTGTGAGGTGATTGCCAGAGGAATCCCGCCCCATCCCTCTAGCAATCACCACACAGTTGTCTGTGTCTGTGAACCTCCAGTCCTGCCGTCTTTCTGCACTGAGCCAATAAACAATGGTGGTAACAGCGAATTAACCGCCGGCTGGTGTGGCTCAGCGGTTGAGCATTGCCCCAGGAACCAAGAGTTTGTTGGTATGATTCCCAGTCAGGGGTCCTGCAGCAGGCAGCTGATCAATGGTATTCCTCTCTCATCGATGTTTTTCTCTCTCTAACCCTCCCCTTTCCTCTCTCTCTAAAACATCAATTAGATGCATTTTTAAAAAACAATGACTTAAGCTGAAACCGGTTTGGCTCAGTGGATAGAGCATCAGCCCATGGATTGAAAGGTTTCAGGTTCGATTCTGGTCAAGGGCACGTATCTTGGTTGTGGGCACATCCCCAGGGCAGGGTGTGCAGGAGCAGCTGATCGATGTTTCTTTCTCTCTCAATGTTTCTTTCTCTCTCAATCGATATTTCTAACTCTCTATCCCTCTCCCTTTTCTCTGTAAAATATCAATAAATATTTTTTAAAAACACACACACACACACACACACACACACAAACTTTAAACAACACGAAGGAGGGCGTGGTGGGAAGGAGCGCGGGGCGGCCCCGGTACTGCGCGGAGGCGCCGGCAGGGGGCGCTGCAGGCGGCGGCCGCTCCCCGCCGGCGGGTCCTCGCCGCTCTTGCCGCGCGCGCAGGCGCAGTGTCGGCGCGGGGGGTAGGGCGAGTCATATGACCCGCTCGGCTTCCTGGCTCGGCCTCCGCCGCCGCCGCCGCCCGCGTCCGTCCGCCCGCGCCGCGCCGGGGCCGCAGCCGTTGGGGGGTCGGGGCCGAGGCCCGCTCGCGTGGAAGCCGCCGCCGCCCGCCCCGCGCCGCCGCCGCCGCCGCCATGCTGGCGCTCATCTCCCGCCTGCTGGACTGGTTCCGCTCGCTCTTCTGGAAGGAGGAGATGGAGCTGACGCTCGTGGGGCTGCAGTACTCGGGCAAGACCACCTTCGTCAATGTCATCGCGGTGAGCGCGCCGCCCCTCCGCCGCCGGGCCGGCCGCCGGGCCGCGCGGGGGCGGCGGGGGCGTCCCGGGGCCGGGGCGCGGGGCGGGCGGTCCCAGCGCCGGGGGTCGGGGCGCCCTAGGGCTGGCTTTGGGGGGCGAGCGCCGGCCCGTCACGGCCCCGGAGGCTGGGGCTTGGCGAGCCCGCGGGCCCGGGAGAAGCCGGAGAATCAGGGCTCCGTCCGGTGCGCGCAGCTCGGCCCGCCCCCGGGCGCGGGCGGCCCTGGCCCCGCGGCGCCGGCCCCGGACGCGGCGGGCAGAGGCGCAGCCGGCCCGGCCTGTGCCACCTCCCCCTTCGGCTCTGCTTTCGGGGTTCCTGTCCCCAAGCCGGGGCCCGGGGGAGGCGCGCCGGGTCTGCGGAAAGTTAACTGCCTCGCAAACACGGGGCGGGGGCGTCGCTTCCCGGGCGGGGCCCGAGCCGGTTCCAGGCCCGGGAGGGGTGCCTGGAGGGGAGGCGCCCGGCAGCCCGTCCACGGCGCGGCGTGGGCTCGGGGGCGGCGGCCTGCGAGGGGAGAAGGGCGGGTACTCCTGCCGGGGGCCCGGGCCGCGGGAGAAAGGAGGCGGGAAGGGCCTCGCCGGGCTTTATCCAGAGCCCACGAGCCGCCGTGACTCAGTCTGCGCCGCGCCCGGCCGCCGGGTCCTGGCCGGTCCTCCTCGGGACGGGCCTGCGATCCTTCCGGAGCGATGGCCGCGCCGCGTCCCCCTGTGGGGTGACCGCGGGGGCCTCGCTCCCCGGGAGGCTGGCTGTCCGACTGGTTTGGCTGCAGGAGTGATGCAAACCGGCTCCCTCACCGGAGAGAAGGGGCGGCATGGAGCCGGGAGGAGGAGGGCTGGGAGGAGGGCTGAGCAGCTTTCCCTGGAAGACGGTGCACATGGTCTAAGCGAGCTCACCGGTGTGCCCGCCTGCTCCGTGCTGTCATCGCTTCCCCCACGGCGGCTGCTTCCGCGGGTGAAGCAGGTGGAATGTGGCTCTGATGCCACTGACGTGAGTGTGGACAACTTTGGGCTGACTCCCTGTTAGGACCTTAACATACTTTGTTTTTAAACATTTTTATTGATTTCGGCGAGGAAGGAAGAGAGAAAGAAACTTCAGTGATGAGAGAGAATCAATGATTGGCTGCCTCCTGCACACGCCCCACTGGGGATCAAGCCCACAACCCAGGCATGTGCTCTTGGCTGGAATCGAACCAGGGACCCTTCAGTCCACAGGCCAATGCTCTACCCACTGAGCCAAACCAGCCAGGGCAGGACCTTCATGTGCTTTAACGTGCTGCGGGGAGGATGGGCTGAGTGACTGTGCGCTCCGTCAGCGGGCTTCTGTGGTAGCCCTGCTGTCAGGCTTGGATCTCCTTACCCTTTGACAAGACTGAGTGAGTGAGGAGTGTGGATCGGGAATCGCCACAGTCGGTTGGTTGGTTGCAGTGGAGGAGTGTGTTTGGGAACCTCAGCAAAACCTGAGCCCACCTTTGAGGACTCAGCGAGCGCACAGTGAGGAGCATGCGCTGTGAAGCCCGGCCCGGTTGGCGTCTGGCTGCGCCTTGTCCTCGCTGGTCTCTGCTTCCTCCCCTGCGAAGGGGAGGTGGTCACGGTGTCTCACAGAGTTGCTCTGAAGGTGAGAGAAATGACGTGGGAGCTGACTGGCATCGTGCTACCCACAGAGGCGCTGGGTCAGGGGTGACGGTGGGCTCACTTGTCCTGGGCACAGCCCTTCAGTGCAGAACATGGAGAAGGGAATTAACGGGGGCCTTTTCCTTCTCTGAGTCCGTGCATCCAGCTGTGTGTCTTGCAGTGGGTTCATGATTGAGGCAGGTGATCCCAGTACATCCCTCTCTCCCACCCCTACTCTTAAGCTTACATTATTTTTTTCAATATATTTCACTGATTTCTACAGAGAGGAAGAGAGAGAGAGAGAGAAACATCGATGAAAGAGAGCCATCGATCAGCTGCCACCTGCACACCCCCCACTGGGGACATGCCCGCAGCCAAGGTACATGCCCTTGACCGGAATCAACCCGGGACCCTTCAGTCCCCAAGCCGACGCCCCATCCATTGAGCCAAACCGGTTTCGGCCTTACATTATTTTTAACAACAAAACTTCTGGAAAGCTGTTGAACTCGGAATGAGCCAGTGGTTCCACTATTGCTTTATCATCAGACTATTGGCTGTGTATGGGCTAAGATGCTGGGGGTTGGGGGGATGAGGCCTCCGAAAATGTCATCCTTTTTCTTCTTAAACCTCAGACTCCAACCTAATCTGTGATTCTCATGGGATATATTGAGGGTGAGGAAAAGGTTAGTAACTAAGGCTGATTTTACAGACTTAAATACAAATACATAGTAAATTTTGCATTATCTTTTTTTAAGTCAATTTTATGACCTTTGCATTTTGTATGAAATGTTCTATAGGCTCAAAAATATAGATGTGTTGAGCACTGTCACTTTTATTCAAATTCAACAAGTGCCTTCTCAAATATGAAAAGCTTCAGGTGAAGCCAATTTTCTTTGGGTAAAAATCAATCTTTTGTAAACATGAAATTAAAATTTGGCTGTCTTAAAAATTTAAAAAATATAATAGATGTTATTTAACTTACTCCAATGGCTTGTGAAGCTGAAATGCATACAGTAGGGTTTGGTTCATTCTGAAATGTTGGCTTACAGAGGGTGTCACTCCTAGAATACATGTTCTTGTGGCTTTAAAGCTGAAATGACAATTAGTTTTCCCTGATGCTCTGTGTAGAGACATTGGAAAAGCGACACCTCTCATCTCTACTGCTCTGCATGGTGTCAGGGCCCATGCAGGACCCACAGCTCAATGTTCTGGCTGTTATTGCGCAATACGTCATGTGCCCTATATGTGTAATGTATGTTGAGCAATCTTTATTTTTAACTGAGGCTGAGATGGGTCATAGGATAGTTGCTAAGAAATATTTAATAGGCTCTATCTACCAAAATGTTATAGGATAAGTTTTGTAGAGAGTGTGTATTTTTGAAATGAATAGCAGTATGACATTTTGTTTACATTTTTGTGAAGTGTTATACCACAAAAGGTTAATCCAGTGAAAAGTTTGTTACTGCTGAGAATTAGGAAAGGGAGATATTTGGGAAGATTATAGAGATATTAGCCTGGAGTCATTTGTTTGTTTTAATCCTCACCCCAGGGTATTTTTCCCTCCTTTGATTGATTGATTGAGAGAAAGAGAGAGAGAGAGATAGAGAGAGTGAGAGAGAGAGAGCGAGCGCGAGCGCGCACACGCGCACAACATTGACATGAGAGAGACACGCGAGTCAGCTGCCTCCTACATGTACTCCAACTGGAGCTGGGTAGCTACAGTGTAGGTCATTGGTCGGCAAACTCTATTGACTAATGAGTTTGGCGGCCACTGACCTAGACTCTCGATTCCAATAATTACAGGCCGTTGTTGTTCCTGTGATTAAGCCCCTGTGCCAGTGGCCGGCAAACTCATTAGTCTACAGAGCGGCACACCGAGGCTTGAGAGGCACGTGTGGCTCGTGAACTGGAGTTTGCCAACCACTGAGCTAGGTAATTCCCTTAACCGGGACTCGAACCCAGAACCCTACAGTCCGAGGGCTGATGCTCTCTGGCCAGGGCCTGGAATTATTTTTTTAAGAATTTATAGAAAAGTTTACCCTCATTGTATAGGTGTAGCTAGGAGGTCCAGTATTCCTACACCGCTGAGCTAATTAGTAGAGAGAGAAAATTGGAATCCAGGGCCAGTGCACTTTCTGCTTCTCCTGCCTGCCTCTGTAGATCCAGTTAAGGTTAGAATCACAGAGCTGTGAATTAGATCTTAATCCTGAAAATCTCTTTATATATAAGAATGGTCCTCTTATGAGTCTGGAGAGCATTATTTGGGTAAGAATGGCAAAAATAGTTGTCAGTGAGAATTTGCTGTGGCTCGTTCTAACATTGACCAAATCTGAGCCTTTGCTGTGGACACCAGCCTCGCCCTGCGGGCTCTTTACCAGCCTGAGCTGCGGAGCCTGATTCCTGCCGGGAGCCTCTCTCAGGGCCTCCCCCCTCCCTGTTCCATCATGCTTTCCCACCTGCCCCCACCGTCCAAGGTTGACTATTGTCAACATTTCAGAGTCGTATCTTTGGTCTTTTGTAAATGCGTGTATCCAAATGCCTTTTTAAGTTTTGAGATCATATCATCTTTCATGTGTGTATCCTAATTTGTTTTCTTTTAGTTACAGTGTGTGCATTTTTTACATCTAAAACCGCTTTTTTCATTTCTTAAAGCACTGTTTATTTTTTTCCAGTTTTATTGAGAAATAATTGACATGCCTCCTTGTATAAGTGTAAGGCGTAAGCATGAGTTTCATTTACATGCATTGTGAAATGGTTACTGCTTTGGGTTCACCTAACATGTCCTATCTATCTATCTATCTATCTATCTATCTATCTATCTATATCTAAAAGCCTAAGCGACCATCCAACCATTTGACCAGTAGCTATGATGTGCACTGACTACCAGGGGGCAGACGCTCAACACACAGGCATGGAAACATGGAACAGACTGATGAATCTCAGAGGGAAGGGGGTAGGTGGAGGGCGGGAAGAGATTAACCAAAGATCTTATATGTATATTAGAGGTCCTGTGCACAGATTCGTGCACCAGTGGGGTCCCTTGGCATGACCTAATGACCTGCAAGGATCAGGCCAAAACCGGTAGTCCAACATCCCCTAAGGGGTCCCGGATTGCAAGAGGGCTCAAGCCAGGCCGAGAGACCCCACGGTAGTGTATCTAGTAGATACAATAAATAAAGAGCCCTAACCAGTTTGGCTCAATGGATAGAGCGTCAGCCTGAAGACCCAATGGTCGTGGGTTCAATTCCAGTCAAGGGCACGTACCTGGGTTGCAGGCTCCTCGCCAGCCTGGGCCCTGGTCAGGGCGAATGCAAGAAGCAACCAGTCAGTGTGTTTCTCTCACGTCAGTATTTCTC